TCACGAAAACACCTGCGATAGGTCGTTTCTGCGTGTCGAGTACTTGGACAGTGATTTGCATGGCTGGCGAATTGTGAATCGCTGTGCGTAGGCGATTTCCAATTTCCTTCAAGCATATGGCGCTGGGACTTTTTATACCCTGTCATAGCTAGGACTATACTCAAGCTAAGTGAGACACGTTGCATAAATGGTTCGAGGACACCAACGTGATCACTAAGTCTGCGATAACTGGAAGTACTATGGCAGGGTACCAGTTATAACCTGTTATACCGCGTCCGATGTTTTGTAAGTAACAAGCTAACAAGTGCGAGTGGTGATCAACCTCTTGCCAACTTACCGCGCAGACCCGTTAATTTCTTGGCGAAAGAGAGGTACAGCTCAAGATTACATATGCTCTAGTGCGTGCCATGAAGTGGGCAATCCATAACATCCCCACAAGCGTAAAAGGCAAGTACAACACTCGCCAAGGATGTGGCGTGTTCATCCTGTAACACTAACAACTTCGGTTCCCATACCGATACATCAGGTATAGCATCTCAAAGCATGTGCCTCTTTTTCCATTTTTTTTTTAAAAGAGACGGCGCACGTTCGTGATACACAATATTGACACCGAGGTCATCGAGCACTAGAGATTCCGTTAGTAGGACGAGGCTCGAGGCCGAGAGCTCGCTACGACAGTCTTTCAACTCCACCTCCGACGAGACCTTATGGCTTGCGCACTGGCCCTTGGCGGATGTTCTTTGTTCTGTTTCCTTTTCCTTCTTCAGTAGCATCTTCCTGTCTGCGGGTCTGTGATCCTGCCAGCGGACAGGCTCACTCTCAGGATCTTTCGTATACCCCAAGAAACAACTCTGCCCCGGCGTCGATGGAACGTTCTGTTCATTCAGGTCTGCAGAGCAGCTCGACGACATCTTAGGCACGAAAGCCGCACGTGTCTATCTATCCTAGAGCTGCATCTCCCGTCGAGGCAACTTGTCCCGCCATCTGACACGCACGTCCAATAACCTCTCCGTATCAAGAGAAATCTTCACGACATGTGCTCCATCCTATGCCTTCGCATATCTGCTATCCTGCTACGTATGCGTCGATATCTTCAATTGAAACCTCGATGGATTTTAGCCTAGCTTGTGTGGCGTGCCTGAAGCCTATTGACTGGCGACCTCGGGCGTCAAATCCTCTTGGGAGACGCCACCAGTATGTCCACATCCATCACGGCTGCAACAAACGTACGTCGACTGGACTTGACCGCAGTTGCCCCACATCACATTCACAGCCTCTGCGAGGTTCTCCCCCATATTGACGACTTGGTGGTATGTCCCTGGGAGAGTGACCACCAGCTCCCCTTCCCGACAGATTGTCTCACTGAAGTCGATGCCCCAGTTAAGGAGAGCCTCAGTCGTTACGAGCACATTTGCATGCCGCACAAACTGTGAGCAATGTGTCGCTGCGCGTTGAGGCCTACGGGCTTGCTTGCGCCACGGGAATGTCTCGCGGCATTTCTTCTCGAAGGCTCTCACATTCTCTTGCTCTGGCGTGACGAACAGCCATCGTTTTGGCGCGCCCCAGCGTACCATGTTGATTGACGGTACAGCGAGATCCTCTATATGTATGCCGCTTCCAGTGAGTGCATGTTTCGCATAGTACAGATACGGCGTCGTAATGCCCGGTTTGGCATCGTTCACGAAGAGGCTCTTAAGCTGAGGACCGCAACTCAACAAGGAAGATGGCTTACTAAGCAAACAAGACCAGTCGCCAACATAGTAGTGGCCGTGCATGGCTGTGCGTCTTCGTTCAAAGGCCTGTCTCCGGCGACGGCCAGACAGCTTTTCGTCGCGGCCGTGGCACCAACGATGGACTACGCGTCGAATGTCTGGAGATACAGATGTCAAGCAGCGCAGATGAGAAAAATCAACCGAGTGCAGAGGATTGGCGCCCAAGCGGTCGTGGGAACCTTCAACACAGTGGCCACGGCGGTCGCCGAAGCGGAGGCAAGCATACAATCGGCGCAAGAGAGATACGACAGAAATTTAACGACGTTCTGGGTACGGATGCGAAGCCTTCCCAAGACCCATCCGCTCCGACATTGAGTGGGCCCGCTTTTTGTGGCAGTTGGCATGCCGCCCCATGGTCGTGCATAGGCCCCTGCTCCTCAAGCTTAACGTAACGCAAAAAACGGAAGCCCACGGTAGGTCTTTATTTACATTGGCAAGTTTGGACGCCACGGTGCATAACCGACAGCTTTACTCTGGATTCTGAGTAACAATTGACTCTTCAAATCAAAGCGCTCTTATTATTATGAGCAGGTCAGAGAGGCAACTTTGGCACAAAGCAAAGACTTCGTCATGATGCCTCTGGCATCATTACCTGATGTCCCGTTCCCAGTAGGTACGCTGGCCGTAACACTCAGCTTGTCAATGTTATTTTCACGACACGAAATGCAATGATTGCTTGAACTAAGCCACTTGACAATGAGAACAACGCTCAGATGATCGATAAAATTGATTCCGGGTGAAAGTACGGCAAACCTATTTAACCCAAAACGCTTGAGCAACGAAAGTGAGAAGAAAAAACATTAGAAAACAAGGAGGGAAATTCACATCCTTACTGAGAGGCACGTCGATTGGCGACAACGTTACATTCTTCATTCTTGAATGTAAGGTTGCCTATGTTGTGATTACGTTTTGGATGCTGATAGAGGCAGAAGAAACCTCCTTAACATCTTCAAGCAATGTTCTGTTGCTTTGTTTGTTCGTGCAACTAGTGTCGCGTCGATCGACTGCATGCCACGTACTTTTTGTTCGGGCCTTCGAAATAGAACTTGAGATCACTAATGTATAGAATGGATACCACGTTAGGCTTACCGTTATCTACCGTTTTAAGTATAGGATCGACGCTGTCAGCCTCTTTAGTCTGCGCATCAATCACCAAACATGGCAAAAACGCTTCTCGTGGGGAAAAAAAGAACCAAAGTCATACCATCAGCTCAAAGACTTGAACAGTAGGCAGGCTGCGCGATTGTGAAAGCAAACCAATCACTCGCTAGAACCAACAACAAACTTCTGGAAGTAGCTGATAAAGAAAGTCAACTAGCGCGATATTGACCAGGCGCACCACTGTCACCTCAACGAGACCTGACGATTCTAGTCTGGGGGCTCGCATGTCTTGAATTGCTGAAACGATGCAGATTGCATTGTAGGATCATTATGGATTACAGCTTTGGTCTGCTAATTCAATTTTTGGTCGATTCTATAGGGTTCAATCACTGATACCCTTACGTTTCGTGACATTAAGTCGAAGATTATATGTGCTTCCTTTCTGGAGTATGTTAGGCTAGATACCCCCGATCGTAGACCCGATTCACTCTATATAACCATTCCGGTGATGTCACCACTCTGCTTTAGCGGCAAGCGTTCGAATAACTTAGTGTTTATAATTGGAGACGTATTGCTGGAGCGCACAGAGACGGCAACTCGGTCGGCGCCTCCTTGCGGGGTCACGCTTACAAGAACACTGGCAAAGTTCGTCGACGGTCACTGAAAGCTTGGCTTGAACGATTCATAATTCGCTCATCAAGAATTCCGACATCTGCTGTCTTTGGTTCTGTCAAGTCTGATTTTGATACTGTACAACCTAAAAGGCCTTGAATCAATCTGCTTGTCGCACGGCTCACCGGCGGCCTGGCCAATCCTTCAACAATATCGCCCTATCGAGTTTACCACGTAAACGGTGTTGATGCGGTTCGCCTTCCAGATTCCGAGCTTACGCAGAATCCCCATCGCAGCTTCCAGATCATGGATTTCCTTCGTAAGCCTCTCCCCATAATCTCTCGTAGAGCGGGACTCCCCTGCGATGAAGCGGAGCTTCTCCGCGTCAAGCCCAAGTACCCGCTGATGCGACCAGAGGCGCTGATGGCTATCCGACCCAAGGAGTAGATTGTAGCTGACCGCTTGAAGATGGAAGTTGTCGGCAGCTCGTTTGAGAGCCACTTATAGCACGCCCTCAGATGTGGAAAGCCTTTCTGGCGTGTGCTGCGTTACTCTTGTCGGCGACAGTCCGGGAGACGATATATGAGTAGATCCAACGCACTTTCGAGTCAATGTCCTTATTAGCTGTCAGCAGCAGGTTGTCTTTCGTGCGTTTGCCACGGCTCATCTGTTGATTATGATTGAAGTATTGATCGAGCGTGGCTTGTCAGCTGGGGGAGAAGAGTCCTGCTCAGGAGACACTGTGGCGAATCGGAGACAAGTGAATGATGAGGCTGAGTAAGTTTTGTAGGTAATTCCAGTCGGTTGCCTAGATTATGCTGTCTTGCTCAAACCCCGGTGCCTCCTCCGATGGTGATGAAGCACATAGTCCTGTCGTGCGAACCTCTCACCACACGTGCCACAAACACCAGTAATGCTAGGATATCCTACCGAGACCGCCCACTTCCTGTGCGTTTTCCAAATGTGCCTCCTGACCTCTTTTTCCTCCGGGAAGCTTGAGGTACAGTCTTATTTGGGGCATTGCCTATGCGATACCATATGCACCCTGCCGAAAGTATGAGTGTCGCGTCTACTGTATCAGGGGGAGGAATGTGTTCGGCTCACGTCGGACTTACGCAAGTTCCTCGCTCCCCTGTGAAGCGAAATCGCAACCCTTCCAACGACAGTGGTACCTTGCACCTGATAGTGTAGATGTACAAAATTTCGTGGCGGGAGAAGCTCCGGGAGTATTCGTGACGGCAGGACTCGCCTCTGGTCGCAGTGGCTCTGGAGTGGCAACGGCAGTCGCTCCCCCTCTTGTTAAGTTCGCGTTCTTCCAGGTCTCTAATACCAGCGCCACAGCATCATCATCACAGACAAATGTCTGTTTGGGAAGCCGTGGCAACTCTTCAACATCTCAGTAATGTCGGGAGGGTGATAGAGGCTCTGGTTGGCGCAAGTTGATTGAAGGAGAGTGGATTAATCTGTGTCGAAAATCTTCATTACCGAGCAACTCCGAGCCGTATAAACTGGTCTGAACCAACGGAGATATGCCGGTAGCTTGGCCATTCAGGGGCTGGAGCAGAAAGTCATTCATCTCTGCAAAGACAGAATCACCCGCCTCGGAAACAAGGAACTCGTTCACTTCTGAAAGCATAGGGTCATCTGCCCCAACCCGGAATGCCCAACTCGGATTGTGGGCCATGTTTGCGTAGACGGCGAACATGATTGTTTTCGTGGAATCGTCATCGAGATAATATATGCGTAGGATATGGTAAGAATTTTCACCGCTTATGTATCACGTATGGTATGCTCTCACCGACATTCTGAACAGTACCAAGACTGTTTGTGACGGATCACTGTGGGAGTTCTGAGACATTTGCTATAGCAGCGCTATCGACAGGATACTGATGACGTCTTATAGCCGGAATACTAAGGGTGGCTGGGTACTATTTCGGCTACAGAGTCCACTGAACAGGGCTTCCGAAGTGCGGTAGCCGTTGGCGCTGTCGGGCCTCTGGGTCCACGTTACGTTTTACAGATGTACCCCGAGGCGGTGGGGCGGCGAGTACAGTCAGTCGGCTCCATCCGGATGGCCACATGCAGAACCTCATAACATGCTCGAAGTCTCCCCTGCGCCGGCGAAGACGCAATGGCAGCCAGATCGCTCCGGTGTCAGAAACGACGATCTCGGCGGTTCAACAAGCATTGAGGTGATTTTGGCGGGCCGGGTACCAAAGCGGCCTTTCGAGCCTCGTACTGAACTGTAGTGCCTCGTTTGCCAATCACTGCTCCCACCACGCGGCCTCAAACCCAGATACAAAACAGAGTGTGGTACGTACAGACAAAGCTATTCATGCATCGCCAGCAGCGTCTCAGCGGGGTGTCCAAGGCAATGACAGACAGGTCGTCCTCGATGTGACGCTTGTCCTCGATGTGACGCTTGCGTGCGCCAAGTGGCCCCGTCCGATCCGGCATCGAGCCACTGGCAACGGCATCGAAACCTACGCGAAGTGGGTCCCGCCATCGGCCGCCAGCGGCCGCCTGAGCGTCCCATCTTCCGGCTCCCGTGACTGTCATCTACTGATGTCGGATCCGAAGGGCTTTGCGGTGTTGGCGAAAAGATCCTGACAACAACGCCCCAACGGACCAGGACTCACAACGCGCACGATTTCCAATGGCAAGAGGGGTTCTACGTAAAATCGTCGCGGCGGGGATCAAGCGCTTCAATTGGTCCTACACGCCCCATCTTAGCCCAGCTCCGGCATTGAAAGATACAACATCAACGACAACGGGGGCAAGCACAGAAAGGCGAAGAGTCGACAACCACCCAGCAAACCGGTGCGCAGGTCTCGGAGCACATCCGTGCTACTCCATGCGCTGCAGTCCAGCCCCATTCGCTGAGCCTAGAATGAGTCTTGCACTTTCTCGTAAACGATTCAATTCGACCTTCAGCGGACAGTGGGAGCCCACTTCACACCGATGCCTCGTCTCAACGCTCAGTCCAGCCAATCGATAGATTATTTCCGTAGCTGAACAAGTGAGAAAAGGCGTGATGGACGGCCACAGTTTGTTTTCGCAGAGAAATTCAAAATATTCGGCAACGCGAGTCTGGGACGTGCACAACACGTCCAGTAATTCTTTGTTCTTACAGGGGTGGCATTGCTTGGAACCACTCGGGTGCACTCGACCGCACATGCCGCAAAGTACCTGATATTTTTTGAACGCTCGCCGATCGCCCTGCAAGACACCCACCAAGCTTTGGATTTCCTCGTGTAGTCGGCTCAGTGTGAGGTTTCTATTGCACTCGAGTGCGTCTAATCACTGTTAAGCGGGCACATGTGACTGAGGAGAACCGCGTAAGGAAGCTGCTTACTTTTGACGTTGTCGGGAAATGCAGACAGGATTTCATGGTCCGTCCAAGTGGCCGCAAACCCCGGCGGCAAATACCTCACCGCCTGTGCCGAGATGGTTGGAAACTGATCCTTGGCCTCGAACAGGTACGCAGCCATGAGCAGCAGTCCGTGTTCCGCCACATCTTCAGGAGGTCTAGATTCCCGGAGCCACCGGAAAATCCAAGGCGACAAGGCGCCGTTACAGCGGTATTTATCACTTGCTCGTGCGATCTGCGCAAGCAGTTGCAAGTCGACGTCGTTGTGTTGGTCTGTGGTCTTATGATGGAGTGCTGACAAAAGCACGTCCATCGCCTCTGGGTCGTCCTCTTCTAGGGTGATCGCTGGCTGTTGCTCTGATCGCAAAGCCTGACCTTCGCAAAAGTGAGGTCCAAGGAGAGTTGTGAAATACGGTGACGCCGCGACAAGAACTTCAGAATGGACCAAATATCTGCGGGTAGGCTGTGTGCTTCCATGGCCCAGTATGAGGACCATGTCGGCATGCGGATGCAGTTCAATAGGACCGTCGTCCTCAGTCAATTCGTGAACATCGTGGTCGCTTGACATCTGGAATGATTTTTCAATGTGATTTGTTGCACAAAGAACCGTTGACGCGAAAGATACTTTGAGAGACGGATTTCGTTCAGTCATCATATCCGGGCGAACCACAGCAGCGTGCGGAGAAACTGGAATGTGTATAATACCTACCGACGCACATGTCAAGATGCTTGCTCACCCTCGGCGACTTTGAGCGGATCGACTGCAATGTGTACGTTACGTGTATGAAAGCTTATGCTTGAGTTAGTTTGAACACCAATGCGGCAGTGTTTGTTTGCATTCAAGCGCAACGGCTGCAGAAAATGAGAAACCTCGACATGGGCCTGGAAACTTTCTCGCAGAAAGTGTGCTTGCTTCTTATACGACTGCTCGAGTGACAAGCAACAGCCCAGGGCATCTCGCAAACCTTGTAGTCCTTGCACAAGCCTTAATTCTGCGGAACGTTAGCCCCGTAGTCGCAAACTTCCGCGGTTGGTGCAGCCAAACAACGAGGTATTTGGAGTTTAGCAGCGCCGACCTGTCCTTCCAACACCATCCCTTCGCCACAAATCGATTCCTTGCTCAGAAAGTAGTAACAGACCCTACGGCCTTTCACCAGATTGCCCATTATGTTACAAACCAGGTTCGTCATTGCTATGAGAGCACTGCGAACGTAGTGAGTGAGGAAGATGAGCAGCAAATGCTCGTGACTACGTAGACGGCCTAACAAATCCAACAGAAATGCGGCAGGCGAAGCGCGGGCTAGGTATGACACCCGCCGCTGCATTGTGACATTCGAATACCGCAAAGCGCATGAGCTGGCAGGTGCTTGCCGTCACCTCGTCGGAGCTGCACGCCACTTTGGCCGACCTGCGCCCTAGGCACCACGACGTGGTCGTCGTTCAGAACGTGCCTGACCAATCGATGGCAAACCGAAGCGTAAACCCGGCTGAGGCGGGAAGCCGGTAGTTGAGATCGCTGATGCCTCCGGAAAGTGATTCCGTCTACAATGCCAATCCACGGACTCGATGAAGCCAACTCGGTCGCTCTCGTCCTAATCGACAGTGCGTCTGCGACTAGTCCCGTCTGCAATCAACGACCCTACCGGGCACTGGCTCGTAGTCCGGCTCGATGATGGCTCTGCTGACAAAAAGCTACCGGAACCTGACGCCCTTTGTCGCGATGAGGAGGACGAAGAAGGCTTAGGGGAGAGGCTGACAGGCCCCGAGGGAACCGGCGCGCGCACCTATTCGCTTATCTTTTGTCTCGATTTGTCGCATTTCTTCTGCCACGAACTCGAACTCGAACTTGAAGTTGGACACGCGCGGCTTGCCTGCTCCTCTGCGACACCTTCGGTAGTGAGACGCGCCTCGAGCCGGCGGGAGTTCCAAGTCATGCCGTTGAGCGACTCGGTGACGCTTCAAGTAATGCCTCCGGTTCGAGATGTTACGAAGGCATGTCCTCGGTTATGACTGCCCGACCATCGAGGGACCTCGACCCTTTGGAGTTCGGTCTTAACAGGGGTCACCCGTGCTAGACTTCGCTTAATGGACGCTTTGATCTGGTCCTCTGGAGTGCTGTGCTCTATCCGTGTGATTGTGATTTATCTTTGTCCAACAGAGACAGCCTAGCTAGGCCAGTTACTTGGAGCTGCAGCGCTCAGTAAGAATCCCCTATTGGACACGTACGCAGGGTATTCAAGGTATTCAGGGCACTAGGCTCCCTATATCTGAGTGCTATTATATCCCTAGCTGAAGTGTCCGAGGTCCGTTGAAATCTGCTATAAGTCAGAAACTGTGGGTCGGCACCATGCAGTATCAGATGCTTTCGCTTGCACAACGAGCGATGAAGATTCCGAGGATGCACGACGGTAAAAGGGACTGGTGCACGCCCTGCACAGTGCGTGCCACACTATCAAATGGCGAGCGCAAGGGAGCATAGCAGTGGGTCCCATCCGCTTAGGTTCTCGAGCAGCGGGTTTTCTCATGCTTGTTCAGCATTGGATTCGTGCGGCGTCTGAACAGCGCAAGCTGCGAGTCCGGTCCTCCAAATATGTAAGAACCGATGGCGGGTTTGTCTGGCGTGTTTCCTTAGCACGTTGGCTGCGGTTTTTTGGCGAGTCGGAAGCCCTTGTGCAGTTACCACATCTAAAGAGCAAGACGAAAAGCGGTGCAATTGATGAGCAGCAGTAGTTGGGAATGCAAGCTGCCTTGCCATGTACGTGCTACTAGCTGCAGAGGATTAGATTGGGGATCGCTTTCGTCCTCTCCATTAGTCGAAGTTGCCTCCGTCTTCGAAAGAGCAATCACCCCCGATGCAGCGGTGAGACCACCGGCAAATTGAATGGCCCCATGCACAGCTGCTACCCCGTAATTGCCTACCCTTCGCACACAGATGCCTTGGTTGCCCATCCTTTCAAATCTATAGACACAACATTGACCGCCTAGGTAGCACGGTAATAGCGATACCGGGTGTTGTTGCGTGGTCATAATATGGGTATCAACGTGGATTGTAGATAGCGGTCGTCTATGGAAAGTAGGAAATAGGTAGGAGGCTCGCTCCCGAAGAGAGGGTGCACGCGGTCATAGATCTCGGTGATTGTGTACCCAAGGTTACGTGACATGCGGTGAGGTCACGCGTGATGGAAGCCATCACGACAGATTTTCCAGACGCGAAATAGAACTGAGAACACTCAAAGACCTTTCCATGAGATATCAGATAGCCAGAAAGTAGTCAATAAAGCAGCGAGTAGTTCAAACTCATGACTAACATACGTTATTTGGAGGACGATGTAAAGAGACGACGTACTGTAGAGTAGGTAGCCTTGGCTCACGGCCCTCCACGCCATATACCCTTTGGGAGGTCTGCGGTAAGGGCCTAGATCCTTCCGCCACGGCGTTAAATACAACAACAACAACAACAACAATTGCGCAACTACCAGTGTCACCTTCGGTACACCAGGTCGCACCAGATTGTAAGGCTCTGCATCGCTTCTTAGCTCTTTGGCGTTCGCGGCTAACCCACCGATCTCTCGCTGTAGAAACGCATCATCCCGACATGCATGCTCGAGACCTTGCATCTCCGCGGCCGGGACCAATCGC